TGGTCTAGCAGCAAAACAAATTTTAATTCCAGTTTTGAGATATAATGCTACGATGCCAGAGAGATCACAGCATCAAGGAAGGAGACAACTGCAGCAGCCCCAGGAATGAAAGAGAATGCAGAAATTATGGGAAGCATTTTCTTCTTATATAATAGGCATGGAATAGCTACTAGGAGCTTTATAGTGACAGTAGGAGATGTGTGGGAGGGAGATGGCATGACCAGAGACAACTGTCTGGGGAAGGAAAAGGCAAAGGAGAGATGAGGGATAGATGGGAATAGAGGATAGGCAAACAGGGGGGTGTGGGAGGAGGTTATGGGAGATCCAGGCTCAGATATATGGGGACAAACAGTGCTGGTTGAGAGGAAGGTTTGGAGTGCTTCAAGGAGGAAACCATAAGGAGGAGGAGGAGGAAGAGAAGAAAAGACCACCAGGACAGGACAGAGGAGAGAGGGGTTTGGAGAAAAAGCAAGAGGCCCCCAGGGAGGGGAGAGCTTGCACTGACGGGTGAGAGGCACTCCAGGACTGGCATGAGGTATGCTTTGCTATTGCTCTGAATGCTGTAAACATTTTGGTTTTGTGTCTATCAGTGAACATTCAGTTCAGTTTGATACATGTGCTCTTATGGGTAACTGGAAGCCTAGCAGAGTTTTACATCTCTTACTACTAGTCAAACTTACACAAGGCAAACACGACACTGGCTAAAAATCTCATTTTATGTCATTTATGCCTAATTCTCCTATTTTAACATGCACATCTATGTCTCAGAAAAGCTTCTCTAGCAGAGGACACTAAATAACATACACATGAAGTCACATGCACTCTCACCCACCCACACCCTCAGACACACACACAAGGATTTCCCTCCCGTGCTTAGACTAGCAAGACCTTGCCCTTCACACCTCCCCAGCACGGAGGACAGAGACTCCTTGGTACATAGAGTCCACAAAAAGTGATGGAAATCATCCCAAGCCTGGCTGATGGACCAAAGCAGGAGAAACTCAACACAGATTGGGGTTCTGCATCTACTCCTGGAGTTAACACCACCTGAAAGCTTATAGAAAAGGGAAAAAGGCAGTTTGCAAACCTTTCCTCCCTTTCAACTGTCAAAAGATTTGGGAGCTGACTGGCTATGTGCCAGCAAACACACAGAATACAAATTGCTGAGTGAACCAAATTTTTCCCCCTCTCTTCATGGAACGACACACTCTGAAACAGGAGGAATATTTTGAAGGTGTGTGCTTGTGGAGAGGGGAAATCGGGTTTGTAAGCTATGAATATGCCCTTCACATCAGGAAGACATGAATCAAAGATAGGATATTTGTCCTTGATGGGGATTAGTCATCACTCTGTGCTTTCCAAAGCTTTGCCTCAGTCATTATTTCCTTGATCAGCCCCTGGTTTAAGGGGAAGAGCTATAAGCTGCCTATTTTAATTCACTTCAGACTGACATTTGGCATAAAAGAAGCAGCTGGTGCCAATTTCTTGTTTAAGAAAAATATAGTTTTACTTTAAATAACTACTCTGCTTTCCTTCGAGAGAGACAAACTATAAGTGCAGCAACAAAAATAACTGTGATAGACTCATATGCTTCAGACAATACTTTTGCTCCACTCTGTGCTTTAGGATGATGTGGAGGATGTTATCTGGCATCGATTTAATGGGCAAAACACTTCTACATCAGCCAGTGTGATTACAGCTCCTGTCACCATTGCAGCAATGGCATCTCTGGATGCACCCACTCAAAGCAATTCCCAGGGTGATGGAGGAGAGTGGGGAGTTTGAATTTACAGAGTATTGGCTACTTGGAAGTTTTTCCATGTGTTTGGACACGCTCTGAAAGGATGACAGCACTGATGCCAGAGGAGCTTGAGGAGAGATGTTACCTCTTGGAGTCACACTCTAAACGGGATCAGCCTTTGTAGCCATCAGGGAAGTCTGGGGATTGTCCTCACTCCCATTCCTCGACACAAACATTCTTGTGTCTGCTGTGTCCTCCTCGCCTGGCTCTCTCTGCCACCCTCCCTGCCGTGCAGGACTTTGCTGCAGAGCCTTGTCTGGGGTGCATCAGCTGGCACTAAAGGTCAGCACCATCCAAGCCCACTCAGGAGGTCTCTCGGTGGCTTGGAGAGAATTACCAAGGTAGTTCTGCCTTCTCTTTAAAAGCTGTGACTGCGTAAGCCTCCTGCTGCTGCCTCTTGCATTGGGGCAGCACTGGGATGCTTTTTGCACGTGCAGTCAAGAGGAGGCTGAAAAGGAGGAAGGCAGGGCCAAAGAAGGTTCCCCCTCTTCGCTCCTTGCAACACTTGTTTGATGCCACAGTGTTGGAAGCCAAGCTGCTGTTTGGCAGCAGTGGGATCACTGGTTGCAGTGACACTGGGTACAACTGGGACCACAGGTCACCTCGAGGGGAACTACTTCGGCCAAAGCAGCCTGTGCCCGAGAGATCCCAGTCCATCCTGTGTTACACAGGTGCAGTACTCAGTGTTTCTTGGAAAGGAGAGCTCTTCTAGCCTCTCCTCACAGTCAGTGAGGGAAGCTTTGCATCCTCCCTTGCAGGTCAAGCACTGAGAATGTTTCACTGCAATGTGGGGTGGTTTGCCCTTGTCCTTTCCTTTCCCCTATAGCAGGAAAAGGCTTTATAGGTGATATAACTCTGTTCCACTTCCTATAGCCCAAATACCAGCAGGGACAGCCACTGGATCCATGGGCTCTATATCCTTTGCTTCCATCTTTGACTCCTTCCACAGCATTGCTCAGGTTTCCCCAGACACCTTTTCCTTTACACATTCTTTGCCACATACCTTGTTTGCCATAAACCTTTGGGCTGTTGAACTTCTGCACAATGTGGATCCCTTGGATGAATCATGGCAAATCCAGAGCATTTTCCAGACATCTCTTGTTGCTCCCACTTTCAAACAAGCAGCAGAGGAGTTTGCATGAAGCCATCACAGTGAAATTTGCACAGCAAAGTCCAGGCCTTGAGTGTTGTCTCTCTGGACACATGACATTAGGCATCTCACGTAATTCAACAGTTCCAAAAGTTGTGCCGTTGAGCCTGAGTGCAGCTGCAGAATGCCACATCTCTCCCCACACTCCAGCCTCTGCTCCTCAGGTGTCCTTGCAGGGGCAAAGGCCAGCCAGGAGCACTGGGTCAGGATGCCAGAGGATGCTGCTCTTTCTGGCCAAAACTCAAGGAAAGTTAACTGGAGCTGCTATTTGCCTACCAAAGACCTGGAGAATTCTGTTGCTGACCTATCAGGTACTGAAAAGCAGGTTTCCCTACTGAACATAAATTTTGTACTTGCACCATATTTAGACTTTAATGTCTTAGACACCACAGGAATACACCTCCAGAATAAAGTAGACATGCTTACCATCTCTATCTTGATCCTAATCCTATTTGTCCTACTGTCCTGCACAGCATCTTTACAAAAAGCCTCAAAAACTGTTTCCTACTTAATTCATGGACAGTGATTTTTAATATCCAAGCAGGCTTTATAGAACTCATTCCAAACACATTATGCTTAGCTTTAGAATTCGCTCTACCTAGTTCAGACCAGATTACATGAAATCTTTATCATCAGCTTTCTGCTGTATTAAATCTTCCCACCATCCTTGGCTATAGCAGAGGTTTACAGTCTCTGGTCTGTGGATGACTGAGAGAAGGAAAAGATCCATGGGATCGCTTTCCAGGCCTTCATAAAATTAAGAAAATAGACCTCTGGTCTGTAGGCTCAAATCCACAGACAGGCTGTCTGCCTCTGCACTGGAAAATATTGCAAGAATCTGACAAGCTGGAACAGCAGTGCCATGG